GTCTTCGGTTTTGGACGTCCTTCGTCGCGGGGCTGTGACGTATGCGGCCGACGAATTCGACCTTCGGAGGACCCGTCCTGCCGTTTTGGACATAGCCCTAGTTGATGTCATCATTTACCCAGAATGCTTTGCGTGTAAATAAAACGGCCCCGTCCATGTGATATATTTTTAAACTTTTAGTTTAAAAATTATAAAAACTGAACATCCTACAATATTTTTACAGTTTTTATTTTACAGTTAAAGTATATGTTTATCATATAAAGTCTAATGTTACAACTAATCGGAGGATCCCTTTAAACCCATAAATGTGTTCCTCTAAACTAGAGGTGTCCAAACCTTTTCAGAAAGGGGCTAAATGAAAATCTATCCGAGGGCTGCGGGCCAAATGTAATTATATAAAACATGAAACTTTTTAGGTAAAAACCCTTTTATTTTTATAATTAAGCAAGCAGCCAGTGTAGTGGCCCATGTTTTTTTTTTTAGCCCGTGCTTTTGAAGAAAGCTAAATAAAATGCGTATTTGTGGCTTTATAAAATGGGAAAATCTTATCCCTAATACGCTTCAATAAATCAGTAAATCAGTGACATCGATTCAGTCAGAGCCTTCCTGTAAATATTTTTACCTTTTAACTAAATAATGGTTTACTTCATGTCAAACCTGATACAGATCCTCAGAATAACATCAGAGAATGTTAACAGATTAACAGGTTAAGTAGAATGGAACCAGCTCGGAGGAGTTCACAAAGCAAAAGAAAACTGGACGTTTTAAAACGAGCCAAACTGGAACAGAACGAGATGTTCTGGAATAGATCACAGTTTGACAAAAAGAACAACAAAAAAATAAATAAATAATAAATCTCGGAGTGGAAACTTCGGATGAAGGACGGAACAGAACGGTCGGCGTGGCGAGAGCGAGACCTGAAGGATGTTAGGAGCCAGTAATGATCCCAGAACTGAGCTTCACCTATATTAGTACCTTCAGATGGTCCGTTGCACACACGCACACACACTCCTGTTTATAAATACACACACATCCACTCTCACAGCAGCAGACGGGACAGGAAACCAAAGTGACAAACACACACGACAAAGACAACAGCGTGGAAGTGACAAACTCAACAGCTTTTAGATCCAAAACGGATTCTGTGGGGATATTTCCTGCTGCCTGAACAACAAAAAGAACATTTTTAACACCTCCAACAATAAGAGTTTAACTCTAACTATAACCACAGGCTACAGGAAGTGGATAAAGAAAATTAAATAAGAGATATAGAGGAGAGGAATGTTAAATATCTCCCCTTTAATGATTCATCTTAATATGAAGGGTTACAAAGGAGACTCTAAAAACACTTCTCTAAAATCTTATTATATTTAAACACAAATAAACCTTACAGATAATTATTCTCCCTCCTGATTGTCCAGTTACAGAGTAAATAACTGATAAACAGTGAGAAGTTTATTAAATCTAACAGATACAGTACACAGTTGACCAGCAGGTGGAGCAATGGTACGCTCACACCTGGAGAACTGCTCCTCCTGCTGGTTAAAAGCTAGAATGCAGCTGGAGTTTTCCAACATTATTCATGTGTTTCTGGCTTTTTCCCCAAATGAGAGTCACAGGTGCGTATGAACGTGTGACACCAGGTGTGTGTTCATGCGAGGAATGCTCAGAACGTGTGTGTGTGTGTGTGTGTGTGATGACAGAATGAAGTCAAAGCCATCCAGGTCTGCTGCTGTTGTTAGAGAGCCGCTGCCAGAGTGAGAGAACAGATGAATGGATGGAGGCTGGGGAAAAAAAAGAAGAAGAGTGCAGCCTCCGGGTGACAGAAGTAAATAAATAAATAAAAAGGACTGAAACGCTGAAGCCCCGTCCCTCCTGGGTCCTCTCCTCAACCCGGCTTCCAACCCAAACTACAACCCACTAAAACAGGAGATCTGCTGACGCCTCGACCTCAGGAAATCTACCGGAGTGATTAAACACGGAGATGAGATGGGGTGATGGTTTGGAAGGTGTTAGCCTGGATTAGCAAACATTTAGGGTTACACAGCTACAGGACTGTGTAAAGGTCTTGAGCCAGTCCTCATCTTTTAATGTTTCGCTTCCAAGGAGCAGAGGGTTTTTTTTTTTTTTTTGGAGTTTTGTCATTTTACCCGAACATTTTCAATGCTTTTGCTGGTTCGTCCTATAAATTATTAGGAGATAAACGGACTTCTAGACTTAAATATTGAAGTGCCTTTGACACGCATATCCTTCAAATACAAAAAGGTCAAAGACAACATCTTTATAATTAAAAAAACGTATCTATTTTGTCATATAACTGGCAGATTTTCTTTCGAACTTGGCTCAGCCACAGTGAAACAGGAAGTGACATCAAAGGGGAATTCTATATAAAAAAAGAAAACTCTCAGGTCTTTGTTTAATGAAGCAATATTATTTTAACTGAAAATTTCTTTCTGATAGAGATTCAAAATAATCTGAAAAACATCAGATTTTTCTCAGCAGTCTGTGTTGTAGCAACGCTCTGTTTACATTCAGACATTCCCCTTTGACATCACTTCCTGTTACTTCACACGCGAATATCTCAACAACTGTTCACCTCAAAAGTATGACATTTTGTTACAATAAATCCATTAATGTTATCTTTTCAAAAATGCATTTATATTAATTACAAAAAATTGATGCCATAGGAACTTTAAACCTTGTTAAACCTTAAACCTATTTAAATTAGACCTTTAGCTACTTCACACTAAAGCACCCACCAGTGAGATAATGACATGCTAGCAGCTGGTCATAAAGACATAATTTGTCCCCATTTCTTTAGTTGAATTAATATTATTATTTTCAGGGTTGGGACTAACACAGTTTTACAGATAAAATAGTATTTTAGCTCCAACAAACTGCTTCCCAAAGAGCCGTTAGCTAAAAAACACACATCAGGGCAACTTAACTGTACAATGAGCAATTTTATTTGACTTAATTTAATATAAAAATTCATCGTAAATCAATTATACATTTTTTAATTTATGATTAAGTGCATTTAAATAAATGTATTAAAAAGGTACAAAACAGTACAATCAAGAGTTGTGTTTGCAGACTGGGTTTTTCATAGATTTTTCATTGAACCTAACTACTTGTAGTTTGCAATAATCCTTGTGGTATATATTTTTTCTTTCCTGATTTTTCAAGCTCAATTATCAAGAACAATTTAATTGGCTAATTTTGTAATATATATA